GTGTGGCCTTGGACGAGTCACCAGTGACTCAGCTTCTCTGAGCCTCAGTTGTACTCATCTCGCAGGGCTAGCGTGAGGAAGACCTGCCCACTGCAGGTGCTCAGCCGATGCCAGTTCTTTCCCCACTTCTTCCTGCCTCCTTTTGTCCTGCCTCCCTTTCTAGGGCACTTTATTGATTTTTTAATCTAAGTTAGTATCTTGTACCAAAACCTTTAGGAAACAGCTCCCCGTTGCCTGCAGTCCCCTTCCAAAGTAGTAACTAATGCTTAGAGACTCCCCACTTCTTCCTGCCTCCTTTTGTCCTGCCTCCCTTTCTAGGGCACTTTATTGATTTTTAAATCTAAGTTAGTATCTTGTACCAAAACCTTTAGGAAACAGCTCCCCGTTGCCTGCAGTCCCCTTCCAAAGTAGTAACTAATGCTTAGAGATCCCTGTCTTTCAGGAGCTTCTGAGCCATTTCTCCCTTGGCTGGACAGGAACACCGATTTCCCTTGTGGACAACAACACTGATTGCAAAATGCCAGCCCAGGTTAATACCTTGAATTCTCTTGCGTACATGTCTGGAGTACAGGAAGTATTTGCTAAGTGAATGAATGAATTGATTAATGAATGTCAGCGTCCTAGGTCAGATATTCACAGACCATCTTAATCTTGTTTCCTCTCCAGGCTTTCCTCCCTCCACACCCTTCACCTCACCCTTCCCTGATGCAAATGAGCCACCTTCTCCACTCACCAGTGCCCAGGCTTTGGTTATTTCATTCTTCCCCTGTGAAATATCACCGTCCAACCATTTTTCATTCTTTCAGGGAGGGCGCAGTTCAACTGAAGTTTCCCAGCACTTTCTCTGAGCCTCTGTTGGGGCACCATACACTCCCCGATGTTTTCACTCAGCCCTGTACTTTCTTCCCTGATGACTGCTTACAGTGGCTTCTATTTGCTTCATCTTTGTGCTGCTCCCAGTATTTAGTAAGGGCGTGGCATGCAGTAGGCATGTAGGCATTTGTTGAATGAATGCATGGACCACCAAGAAGACCTATTGCTCACCATGCCAAATCAGCCTCCCTGGGTTAGAGCAGAAGTTCCAGTGCCACCAACTCTGGCCCTCAAGACAAGCAGCTCTGAGCAGAGCCTCAAAGTACCTTTGGTCCATGACATGGCTTGCAAAGGGGACACTAACAACCCTAGGTCTCCGAGGGCTTCCTGTTTTAACTTTGTGCTAACTAGGCCTCCCCAGGCATGGCTCTCCTAGCCAGTGAGTTCTGGCTTCAGCAGATAAAGCATTTTTCAGCCAGAAGACATCTTGAGTTTTGGGGGCTCAACTGGTTCATTCTCCAGTTGGAAAGTCAAGACTCAGAGAGGGGAAGTAACTGGCCCAAGGTCACAGAGTGGCAAAGTGAGAGCCAAAACCGAGGCTACAGAACTTCCAATTTAGAGGTTTTTCCAAGTCCTAGGGGAAGCACAAGGAGGTCAGCTTTTGACACCTTACCTGAGCAGAGTCAGATCAAGGTTTACTCAGCATGCCTAGTGCATCCAAGGACAAAAGACGCAGAAGTTGGGAATAGCGTGTATGAATGTGTGCATGTAAGGACAGAACCAAAGAGCCAATTAAGCACAGTCTCCTGCGATGGTTTTGCTTTACCTTGTTAAACACACACACACACACACACACACACACACACGTGCATATATACAAAGGTTCTTCCAAAAGTTCACGGAAAAATAAAATTAAAAGATAATATGCATCTTTCCATGAACTTTTGGAAGTACCTTCATATGTATTTTTTTCTCTTACAGGAACAAGACATGTTGTAAAAAAAAAAAAAATACTAAAAAGCATACAGAACAAAATTTAAAATCCAGAAATTTCTACCATCCAGGATTAACCACCTACATTTTTAAATTGACAAGTAGGAATCGTATACATTTATTGTGTACAACATGTGGCTTTGAAATATGAACACATAGTGAAATGTCTAAATTGAGCTAATAAACATATGCATTACCTCACATGCTCACCATTTTTGTGTGTGGTGAGAACACCTAAGATGTACTGTCTTAGCAATTTTCAAGAATACAATATATTGTTATTAACTGTGGTCATCACATTGTACAATAGGGATCTAGAACTTATCCCTCCTGTACAGTTGCACATCTTCTGTTTTTCATTTAGATCCTAGGGCATGAGTATTTTCCCATGTGATTATAATATGCTCAAAAACTCCATTTTAATGATTGTTCATTGTATGCCATGATTTAACCACTTTATTGTTAAATGTTTATAAATGATACTATGAAGAACATTCTTGAACAAGAGTCTTTGCCCACATTTCAGAATATTTCCTTGGGACAAATTCCTAGAAGTGGAGGGCAGGAATATTTTTAAGGCTATCAATACTTGTTGCCAAGTGGCTTTCCAGAAACATGTACCAGTTACACCCCCTCCAGCTGCATTAGAGAAGAGCCTTTTGATTCTGCAGTTGCGGTAACACCTCGGGCCGGGGGAGGGGTGTGCTTCCATCCAAAGCCTCTGGGCAGCCATGACAATGGACCCCTTGTCCTGCACACTCCCATCTCCTCTTCCCACACTGCCCTCATCCCTGGCTCCAGGCTTGACTGTCTGCGAGGCCTCTGTTCAGTCCTGTCTTCTTGGCACTTCAGGCTGCCACTGAGAGCAGGGCTGGTAGATCTGAAGGGTGAGAGATTTGCCTGTCCTGTGGGGTCACCCCCTTCCAGCCTTGGAGAAGCCCCCAGGAGAAGTGAGGGGAGGGTGGGTAAGAATTGCTGAATCATGGACCTCTTTCGGAGAACAACCCCACCCTAGTCCTGGGCCCAGGGCAGTGATCTGCCCATTGAGAAGGGGAAAGCAGAGGCCAGCCTCAGTGACAATGGCCACAGGGGACATTGGCCAGCATGTGGACAACCTCTGTTTCCCTGCAGGCTCTGAAGTTCCCCCATGAATCCCCAGAAGAAGGTGGACCTGAAACTTATCATCGTCGGAGCCCTTGGGTAAGCCAAGCTCAGCTCAGGGTCTGGGAGTTGGGAAGCAGCCTCTTACATAATCAGGGGCGGTGAGACCTCCTAGGTGTGTTGTCACATCTGTGGGTCCCTTTCTGATTCAGAGTGGCGCCAGGAAGTGCCTCCCACCCCAAGGAAGGGAGTTAGTCAGGAGAAAGAGGCTGGGAGTAAATAGATGGTCCCGGCTCTGCAGTAACTCTGCAGTAACTAGCTGTGTGAATTAGGCAAGCCATTTAGCATCTGTCTGCCCTCCCACCTCCTGCCACGCACAGGAAAAACCTGACCATTGCTGTGGGATATTCCGCTCTCTCCAAACCTTTCTGCCCACTCTGATGGGTTTTTACTTCTAGAAACCATTCCCTAATCCCTTGCTACTCAAAGTGTGGTCTGTGGACCACAGATGTTAGAAATTCAGAGTCTCAGGGAGAGACAGTGGCGAGAGAGGCATGGTAAGATTTTGAGAATGGCATGGATGTATGTGTGTATGTGTTTGTACATATGTGTTCACATGTGTCTGGGGTTTTTCCTCAGTGTGGGAAAGACCTCCCTCCTTCACCAATATGTGCACAAGACATTTTATGAGGATTACCAGACCACACTGGGGGCCAGCATCCTCTCCAAGATTATTATATTGGATGACACAACTCTGAAGCTACAGGTGAGCAGCCCTCACTTTCCCTGCCCAACATACATTCACATGAAAATTGCCCCACCCTCCCCAGAAGGTCGCTTGTATAGCAATGTGCATCAGCAGCTAGAATGGTCTAGAGCAAAGATTGGCAAACTTCAACTCATGGGCCAGATCTGTCCACCATCTGATTTTGTAAATAAGATTTCATTGTGTGGGACTGTGACCCACATTTGTTTCCATATTGTCTTTCCCACAGCAAAGGCAGACCTGAGTAGCTGCTACAGAGATGGTATGGGCTGCAAAACCTGAAATATTGACTGACTCTTTACAGAAAAAATTTGCTAGCCTGATCCAGAAGGAAGAGCATTAATCCAGGAGTTGGGAGACCCCACACCTAGTCTCAGGTTCCTTGGAAAACTTGGCAGGTGGCTTTGGACAAGTCACTCCCAAGATCCAAGTTTCCAAGTCTGTCAGATGAGAATAATAATCCGTGCCCAGATGACCCAGAGGAAAAATGAGAGCTCAGATGTGAAAGTAATCTCAGGATGTCAAGTGTTACTACACAGATGTTGTAGTGCACATGGCTGGGAGGGTCAGTGTGCTCGTGTGTGAAGGATGTAACATGACCCAGTTGGGCCTCCTCCGGTCACTCATCACAGCCCGTGGGGCGGCTGCTCCTTCTCCTTCAGATCTGGGACACAGGCGGTCAAGAGCGGTTCCGCTCTGTTGTGTCCACATTCTACAAAGGCTCCGACGGCTGTATCCTGGCTTTCGATGTAACAGACCTGGAGTCCTTTGAAGCCCTGGATATCTGGCGGGGTGATGTTCTGGCCAAGATTGTCCCCGTGGAGCAGTCCTATCCCATGGTGCTGCTGGGAAACAAAATCGATCTGGCAGAGCGGAAGGTATCACTCATTCATTTATTCATTCATTCAACTAACACTCTGTGAGTACCCACTGTGTGCCAGGCACTGTGTTAGAGCCCACACACCCAGAGCTGGATCAGGCACAGTCCTTACTTCAAGAATTTCACAGTTTAGGGCCAGCCCCGTGGCTCACTTGGGAGAGAGTGGCGCTGGTGGTGCCGAGGCCGCGGGTTCGGATCCTATATAGGGATGGCCAGTGCACTCACCGGCTGAGCGTGGTGTGGACAAAACTGTGCCAAGGGTTGCGGTCCCCTTACCGGTCAAAAAAAAAGAAAAAGAATTTCACAGTTTAGTAGTGGATACAAACACTTTAAAAGACAATTATGATACACTATGATAAATGCAATGATAGATTTGGAAACCATAATGAAGGGTGTCGACCCAAGCCCAGAATATAGGAAGGGCTTCCTAGAAGAGGTAGGGTCAAGGCTGAAGAAACAGCATGATATGAGCTGAGAACTGAGGGCGGTTTTGTCTAGAGACTGGGAGTGGAAGAGTTAAGGCATCAGAGGCAGGCAGAAGTCAGGTCTCAGTGGGTTCGAATTAATCTGTAGAACAGTGTTTCTACCTAGGGGCACCTTGGGGGGTCTGCAGTTACAAATTCTTGGATCTACAAGTTTTCTGGGAAAAGTAATAATATTTTTATTAGCTTCAGCACATTCTGGATCATCAGTTTAACCACTTGACAGCGGGTCTGCTCCATGACCACAGTGACGCCACTAGTGTAGGTGTTTACTATTACGGAGTCATTGGGTAGAGAACTCTTTTAATCGTTGCCTGCTAATGAGAATGAACGAAGGTAGAGTTCATTTGTAAGAGACGTTCTTGTGCCAAACAAAGCCCAAATGATACCAAGAAGAGATGTTTGAACAAAGTTTTCTTATTGTCGCAAACAGAGAAAAGTCCTGGGGAACGTAATCGTCATGTTTGAACTACATTTTCACAATGATTCAAATAGAGAAAAGCTATACGGGGCTGGCCGGTTTGCTCTGTCGGTTAGAGCACAGTGTGATAACACCCAGGTCAAGGGTTCAGATCCCCGTACTGGCCAGCCACCGTAAAAGCAAAACAAAAGTGACAGGAGAACTGAGGCATCATTTGGCACAATGATGCATGTTGATGGATGGAAGGAGGGAGGGACCGAGGGAGGACAGGAACAATGGTGCTCCAGCGGAGCTACCACCCACAGATAGGAGGGCCTCCCGCTCTCAGAGAAGGAGGTGCGTTTGATTGGGACATGCTGAGCATGCAGTAGGTGGCACCATCCAGGCTTGTGTAAGTACACTCTGTGATGTCCACACAATGACGAAATTGTCTAATGACACATCTCTCAGAACACGTCCTCATCGTTAAGCAGTGCATGGCTAATTGGAGATGAGCTACGGTTTTGGAATGCGTAAGAATGAAAGTTCAAAGAAGTCTGTGCTGAAAACAGATATCTAGAAGTCATCAGTTCTATGGTCACTTCAGGTTGGAAACTCAGTGTCAATTCTCTAATTATGGATATCCAGTCTCAGATAATAATCCAAATCCTAAATTCATTCAAAGGCAAGGTGTCTCCCTTTTTTTCCCTGCCCTGGAGCCAGCTGTAGGTGAGAACCGTGTGGTCTGCGGGGGGAGCAGGGTCCTCTGAATCTCACTGCCGACCTTGCTTGTCCACACTTCCTCCCCTTACCTGGGATAGTAATTCTGGTTTCACCATCTAGAAGTCATCAGTTCTATGGTCACTTCAGGTTGGAAACTCAGTGTCAATTCTCTAATTACGGATATCCAGTCTCAGATAATAATCCAAATCCTAAATTCATTCAAAGGCAAGGTGTCTCCCTTTTTTTCCCCGCCCTGGAGCCAGCTGTAGGTGAGAACCGTGTGGTCTGCGGGGGGAGCAGGGTCCTCTGAATCTCACTGCCGGCCTTGCTTGTCCACACTTCCTCCCCTTATCTGGGATAGTAATTCTGGTTTCACCAGTCAGGGGTGAAGCAGGAAGAGGGAGCAGGAGACAGGAGATCAGGACAATTCTTATTTGACTGGTACAATCGTAAGATAGTTTTGTGTTCTCTGGGCCTGGCAGGTGCTGCAAGCTGTTTCTTCTGTGGGTCACTCCTTTGGGCCCTTAAGGAGCCTCCCCTGGGAACATTTCACTGTACCTGCCAAGGCCAGTCTCTAGCCAGGTGCAAGGGCTGGAGACCGGTTGGGAGGCATGTTCTTGGGAGGCTGCTGGCACGGGCGCAGAGCTGAGTGGGGGAGCCCGTCTCCACACCTGCCCACAGGGCTGGGCTCACACCCACGTGCGCCTCTTGCTCAGTGCACGTCCTTGGGCCCCGTCCAGTTTCCTCTTCTGTGGAAGGGAGACCGGAGCACGGACTCCCACGGGTGTCTGAGGACAAAAGGAAATGATGCTGTCGTTATCCTCCTGCTTATTGTCTCCAAGGGCAGGGCTGGGAAAAGACGGCAGTTTTTCCTATTTGATATAAAGAAAATGAATATTTTAAAATATATGGCTAGATTTGGGAAGATGAGAAAGTTCTGGAAATGAATAATGACAATTGCCCAGTATGAATGTACTCGATGCCCCTTGACTGTATGCTTAAAAATGGTTAGAATGGTAAATTTGGGTTGTATGTGAGGTGTCTTCAAAAAGTTCATGGAAAGATTAGTATTATCTTTTAGTTCTATTTTTCCATGTACATTCTGAAGTACCCCAGCATATTTTGCCACAATAGAAACATATGTATAATATAGACTCATATTTAGCCATAATGATTTTAGAGAAATTACTGACTTAGCTTAAAAAAAAAAATCCCTACTCCTTCTGTGGAAGGTAATAGTGAAAAACAATCAGTTTATTAGAAAAAATAGCTTTGCTGTTCTACACTACGAGGATTCATTCACTTTGCTCTGTGCTCCAGCAGGAAATTTCTGACTTACTGATTCATAGAACTGAGATCATGTTTTCTAAAAATACTCTTTGTTATTATTAGTAATGGCTTAGTAATGTGTTCACTTATACTTTTGTTTTGTTTTGTTTTGTTTTGTTGGTGGCTGGCCGGTACAGGGATCCGAACCCTTGACCTCAGTATTATAACACCATGGACTCACCAACTGAGCAACCCCAGTAATGGTTTAGTAATGGTTTACTAATTAGTATTTGACATGCTAATTTTTGAAAATCTTTCTTGATTGACAGGATGTATATATTTATTGGATACAGTATGATGTTTCCATACATTTATACAACATGTAAGATTCAAATTAGGGTAATTAGCATATCATTACCTCAGACATTTATCATTTCTTTGTGGTGAGAATATTCAAAACCTTTCTTCTAGCTATTTTGAAATACACTGTATACTTTTGTTGTTTCTAGTCACCCTACTGTGCAATGACAAGTAGGACTTGTTCCTCCTGTCCAACTGTGACTTTGTGCTCACTGACCAACCTCTCCCCGTGTCCCCCAACCCCCACCCTTCCCAGCCTCTGGCAACCATTATTCCACTCTCTACTTCTCTGAGATCAACTTTTTTAGATTCCACATATGAGTGAGATCATGACATGCTAATTTTAACACAGATATCATCAATCATTTTAAATGCATATGAGGTAGGAAAGCATCATAAATAAAATATTGCAAACTGGGCTAATTTTCTCAAATGTTTGGCCTCCAATGAACAAGCAAAACTGTAACAGGGAAAGTAAAGTGTTAATAGCATATGGTCAACCAAAAGCAAAATTAGTGGAAGTGACACTTCCAAAATTTTCACACTTCCTGTGTCCCCAAGTACTACCCCTTTAGTTTATTTCCAGAATCAGAATCTAAGTTATAAATTGCTTTTATTTTACAAATAAAAGATAAGATAATTTTTTAAATCTTGAAACCGTTGCTGGAATTAGAAAAGTGGCAAGCACAGTCTGGTGGCTTTCTTACCAGGCCAGCTTTTGAGGGTGGGGTGGGGTGAATATAAAAAGAATGTTAATTTGCAACATAATCTCAACTGATATTTTGGAGTTTGANTATTGCAAACTGGGCTAATTTTCTCAAATGTTTGGCCTCCAATGAACAAGCAAAACTGTAAAACAGGGAAAGTAAAGTGTTAATAGCATATGGTCAACCAAAAGCAAAATTAGTGGAAGTGACACTTCCAAAATTTTCACACTTCCCGTGTCCCCAAGTACTACCCCTTTAGTTTATTTCCAGAATCAGAATCTAAGTTATAAATTGCTTTTATTTTACAAATAAAAGATAAGATAATTTTTTAAATCTTGAAACTGTTGCTGGAATTAGAAAAGTGGCAAGCACAGTCTGGTGGCTTTCTTACCAGGCCAGCTTTTGAGGGTGGGGTAGGGTGAATATAAAAAGAATGTTAATTTGCAACATAATCTCAACTGATATTTTGGAGTTTGAATTCAATTGTTCTGTATAAACCAACAGAGAAAAAGCAGGGGAAAATGAGATTAAAGGTCTGTCTTAACCATGCACGGAGACAGACCAGTCACTGTCTGGTGGGAGGGAAGGAACAGCCGAGACCAGGGGCTGCAGCTGCAGGGATGTTCCTAGCTCTGCTGCTGGGTGACCTCGGGCACCAGTCCTGGGCTTCTGCTTCTCATGAAGAAAATATAAAGATCCCCTGCCTCCTGGAGAAGCAGAGTCACTTTACTTCACTTCATACACTGCAATTTTTACCAGAACTCTAGAGTAACCATGTGCCAGTTAGATACTCAGCACCCGGGAGGGTGGGGGCTGGGTTGGGAGCAGGATATAAAGAAGGAAGAAGCTATAAGAAGTGTAAGTCCCGTCCTTGCCTCAAAGACACTGAAAGATATGAAATCTTTTGAATTCCTAAGGTGCTTTCAGGTATGAGGTGTTAATTTCTAATGATTATTTATCTGCATATTACCGGTAAGAATGATAATAATCAGCAGCCTGGCCATCCTTGATTCTTCTTCCAAATAGTTCAGGATTTTCCCCAAGCCGTGAGGCTTCTTGGTTGCTCACCAGGTCCTGGGCATCTATGCCCCATGGGAAGGAGTACTCCTGGCGAATTCTGGGGTTCCTCCTCCCAAAAGCAGGGGGAGCTTAGAGATCAGAGGCCAAGACTAAGGCCTGGAGATTCTCCCTGCTGTGTTCAAGTTCAGCAGCTCCTGAGAGACTGACCAAGCAGAGCCTGGGCATGGGACATGGGGATGTCGTCTGGGCTGCCCAAAGGGCAGGCTGCTTAGTTGACCCCAGTCTTCACTTCGTATCCCAATAAGATAGACATTCCCTGAACCTACAGGAGTGAGGGTAACAAGGTGACAAGGGAAAGTCTTTGATTGATTTCCCCCTGCCAGCACCGTGTTCTGGGAAAGAGGTAGAATGGTCCTTTTTCCAGGGAAAGGCCTTGGTTCCCTTAAATAAGTCAAAATAATGGTTATAAAGTAACTGCAAATGCTCAATATGTGGTCATTTCCTCCTCCCCAAAATAATTAGACATCAGACTCAGTGGTACCAATCGTCTTTGGAAGTAACCTAAAAGCTGCCAAAGCATTTTGCAATCTAACATCCCCAAGCTGTGATCAGCTGTTTGCATTTGGGTAATGATGTAATCATTCAGCCTTTGCTGAGTGGCTCATGTGTGGCAGGTCAAGAGTTAAAAAGGACCTGTCCCTGAGCTCAAGGAACCTGCAGTCTAGTGGGAGAGACAGAAAAGGAGAAGTG